GGCGCGGGTCTGGGGGTCCCGGCCTGGACCTCGGCCTGCGGCCCTGGGCGCGCCCGCGAGCCCGCAGCGAGGCCGGCTCTGCAGGCTGTGCGCCTCCATTTTGAGCGGAGGGTTCGGGACCGGCGTGGGGGGGTCTGAGCCCGGACCCCCACCCCGAGGGGCGCGCCCGGAGCCGCGGCGGCCCTTCCCGCACCGGGAGCCCCGCGCACAGCCGCAGAGGCCTGGCCGCCTCGGGTGCTTTGTCAGACCTGGTGCCCGGGACCCCGCTCTTCGGCGGCCACGGGGCGCGCAGCCATGGAATCGCCGGTGGCAGGCCCTGCCTGCAGGAACCCAGACGGCTTTCTGTGCCAGCGTCTGTGCTCCCCGTGCAAATCCAATTCCAAAGAGCACATGCAGAAAAGGGGGTGTTTTGATCAGAAAAGGGGCTGTTTTCAGAAAGAATGAAGTAGCCTGTCATTCGCCCGGTGGCCCCGCCGGGAAAACGGATTATCGTGCGCCTGTCCCAAAGCCCAGGCCAAAGGCCCCGCAGGCCTCAGGATGCCGCGGCCTTTTCGCCTCGGAAAAACGGCATGTGAGCGACTCGCTGCGGTTCCTCTGCTTCTTGGGTCTCGGGCTGCAGACACGCATTCGATCAGCCTTAAAGGAAGGCGCGTAAATCAGCGGCCCCGCCGGCCCACCGAGGCCGCCGCTGGGCAGCCCCGGGGCAGCCCGTCCGGAGCCTCGAGCCTCAAGAATCCGCAGGGAGGACGGGAGAGGCGGCATCTTCAGAGACACGCTCGGCGGGGTGTAAGCGGCGAAATCGCTGTCATTACCCGCACACGCACTATCGCCCTCGGCTGCATTGCACTGCCCCGTAATGTTTAAGAAAACATTTCAACTAGGTTAAAAATGTCTTTAAAATTCTTTCTTACATTTTTTTCCAGGAAGAAAAAAAAAAAAAAACACCGCACAGTTTAAATGCATGGCTTCAGCTCTGCATCAGGCATTAATAGTAGTGAAATGAAAAGTGACATTTTACAATCATCCACTTAAAACACCTTAATAAATTTGACAGCATTAAGAGCAGATGGGAAAAGGGGGAGTTTTTTTTTACCCCCTGAATTCCATGCGAACAAATTTTAATGGCAACATGACAGGCCATTGCAGGATTTAAAATCTTTGCTAGCTCAATAAATGAAAACGGCGTCTGGGCGTTTGCATATTTACAATGTCTTGTTCCGAAAGTTTCCCTCTAAAGAAGCATACTCGAATCAGCTCTTCCACAGCACTCTCCCAGGCTCTGGCGTTAATCTCCCTGTATGGTGGCTGGAATCTTCCTGGATGTCTTATTTTTTTTCTAAAGGTTTAGACTAGTTGATTTGGGGGCATTAGGGAGCCATCATCATCCAGGCTTCAGGTTGTCTGGTAGATCCAGGGGAGTTTTAAACAAGAGGGGAATTAGGGAAGATCAACATTATCAACAACCATTGTAGAATGAGGAGGGGGTAAATAAAAAAAACAAACTCTGAAATATCTTCTGTCATTAGTTTCAAAAACTGCAGCGAGAGAGAGAGAGAGAGAGAGAGAGAGAGAGAGAGAGAGAGAGAGAGAATATGACTACTTTACCCAGAGTTCCTGCAGTGGCGATGGCTTGGGAAAGGGGCGGTATCTCGCTGCAGTTGGCCTCAATCCTAGGCCCGAGACTCTAACATTTCTTACATCTAAAGAGAAATATCCCCGTCAACAGGAGAGCCCCCTTTGGAGCTATTTGTAAACACGCAGTTCGATCCAGTCGTGAGGGGGATTTCCCACCGCTTTAAACGTTTGGGGCGAAAGCTGTTACTCTGGAATGATGGCAGCTCGTTCAGAAATGGCGTGCTGTGGCACCGAAGCATCTTTTTTTTTTTTTTTTTTCATTTGTTCCCACAAGTAGAGTCCCCAGGGCAGCAACACTTGATTGCACTCCACAAGGCCTTTCCATGTGTATGTTTCAAGACCATGCTGTTTTTGAGGACAACTTGAGAGATTCTACAATTCTCCGTCTATAAACAAGCTCTCCGTCTTCCGGTTTCCATCGGGTTTGAAACCAACCAATATTATTTCCCCATAAAACGATGGATACAGTTCTTCCGGTCACAATGGCTTTCCTCTGACACAAAAATAAAATTAACCTCAACTCAAAATTCTGCATCAGAAGGCTCCTGGTTCCACTAACATTGCAGTACATATGTGCATAGCACGGATTCCACAAAAACACGTTACCATAGGTGTATAATAAATATATAAACACACATATGTATTATTTGTTACTCTAACCACAGCCCTGATGTGTTGTTAGGGATCAGAAGTAGTAAATATAATACTTATTATTATTATAGTTTTGATGGTGGTTGTTCATATTAAATGTATATATTTCTTCCACAAATCAAACAACGGTTCTACAGACATCAGGATAAGATTTCCCACCTCCCAGGGGCAGCACCCAGCTCTGAGCTCTCCAGGATAACTCTCCTTCTGCATCTATATTAAGGTCATTTTGTAGACATGAGATCTTTAAGCTCTCCATACTGACCTCTTAAGGGGGGGGGGTTGAATTTCTGAAATGTAACTCTAGAACTCTAGGGTCAGTGAGGCATCTGAACCTTTTTATTTGCCTCACAGTCTGCCCTATCGCTGTAATTAGGATGGTAGACCACCTTGGAGGGTGAGGGCCAGAAAATAATGGTTATTTAAGAACACCTCTTAGATTGTAACAAAAATGTACAGCTTTAAAGGAGATCTGCAGAAGTCGGACGCAGAGCAAGTCACTATGAAAACAACTTGAACTTAACCATGAAAGAAGAGAAAACTCCATCATGTAAAGTACATTTTGCACCTCAACTCTAGAAATTACCTTAAATTACAACATCTCAGGCCATCAGTAATTAATGATACTATATCTGTACAGATTCTACAAATATATATATATATAAATACAAGCACTGGTAGGCATATATGTAGACACATATATGATCTATATTCACATATGTACAGACACATGTATAACTTACATATATTCAAATTTGCTCCACCTGGAGCCAAAGAAATGAGCACTAAATCTCGAAGGAGTCAAGAAGGTAAGACCTTTTGATTCCCTTGAAGCTGAAGAATTACAAGGCAGCTTGTCAACGCGAGGTGGCGCCCTTGATCTAGTAATCCAGCTGAGGCCAATTCATGAGCTGTCAAAAGTCAAGGTCACAAATTGTCTTTTTTTGTCAAGGTCAAGGTTTAAGGCCTTTCCTAGTCCTGTCATTTCAACAAATATCAAAACCTGCCCTCTCAGATGCATGCAGACCCAACAGATTTTTAAATACGACAGCTTGGTATCACTGATACTAAACAACTGGTTTTCATTTTCTGCAGGGAGCCTGAGAATTTATACTATCTCTTCCTCCTTTCCTTTTTTTTTTTTTTCTCCTTTTCAGAATCCGTGGCATTTTAACCTTTCTGAAGCACTTTTCCAAAATTTTAGGTTTTTAGTTATAAGAGGTTTCTCCTTTTGCTTTAAAAAAAATTGTAAGGGGCTAAAGCTAAATAGAAAAGCATGGTCCTTCGTTTGTCTAAGACAAGCCTGCTCCTCTTCCTTCTGTGCAGCGCACGGTTAGCATGGGGAAATAATGAGTATTTCCTTCAGGTTTTAATGGCAGGGACTACTTTATTAACATAATTAACACCACTCTAGCACTATCTACAGGCCTACGGTTTTTGTAATTACTATTTTTAGTTGAAATATTTGGGAAGCAGGTGCACAAATACATTTTCACAGTGTGCTGAATGTCTTTATTTACAAGATAGCATTTTATAGTGACTATGAACAAATGACTGTGCTGACTGAAATAACTGCTTGATTAAAAGTGTGCTGTGAAGATGCATTCCTAAACTTTCTAATGCGGTCTCATAACACAATAAACAAGGAAAAACTATGAATCCCTTAACAGATCACAATATAGCATGGAAACATCTAAATGTTTCAGGGTAATGGATTTCATTCCAAGTTTTCCAAAAAAAAAAAAAAAGAAAAATCATTTTGTCTGCAATATCTTTAGTCAATATTGGGAAAACAGCAATATAAATGGAAAAAAAAATTGATTATATTTAAAACCCAAGTCCGCCATGTTCGGGTGGCAGCTCTTAGATCTCGAGATCTGACATTAAGTGATTTCTGTGAATTGTCTGATGCTTTGAATATTTTTTTTTCAAATGAGGTCAAATCCTTTGGAAAGTAAATTCTATCAGGGCAGAAAACATAGTTGAAATGCTACAAAATATGCTTGTGATAAGCAAATAAAAGATTATTATCAGAAGGACATTCCAAACGCAGGGTTCCTTTACAGCCTCAAAGGCTCAGCTGGTTGCACGACTACCAACACACATGCTCCTTGGAAGAGCTTTCTCTCCTATCTCCCTTCATGGAAAACAATCCACAGTCATTATCTCAGTACCTTCTTCTCTTTCCCCCTCCAAATCTATACACGGCGTATTCTGCAGAATATATAACAACGGTAGGGTTTCAACTAAGATTTACCTGAGCCGTCACTTAACATGCAAAGGGGATGGCGGTGTCGAAGGACGAGCAGATGTTTACAACAGCCTCCTGCTTTTGTAACCAGTTTTCGGATTATTACCATATAACATAATGTCCTAAAATATAACGGTCACATAAATACTTACAAGATTTCAGTAAATGCGTCATTTATCTGAAAATGCATATTTGGGGGTTGACATGTGACACCAGAGTTTGTCATTTAATGGTCTGGTGAGGTTGGCGGAAGAACTGGCAGTCTTTCCCATCGCTTACACTTTTAAGATAGTTGATTCCACCAAGGAGAAAGAGATTCCCCCTATCAGGAAAGCGAAATGCCAGCGTCTCTTTCTCTTTCCCATTCTTCAATTATTATTAAGCGTTATAATCATGATCTGGGTAAAGCCACGAGTTCCGAAGCATCTCTTCAAGTCGCCTTCTTTCTCCACTTTTTAATCCATTAACTGGTGGTCTTCAGTTTGTTGATGACTTTTTTCTCTTTGACCCTCCTGTTCTGGAACCAGATTGTAACCTGCCGCTCGGAGAGATTCGTGGTGGCCGATATGCGCCTCCGTTTGTCCTTGGTAATGAATTTGTTTGTAGCGTACTCCCGTTCGAGTTCTTTTAATTGCACCTTGGTGTAAGGGACGCGCTTCTTCCTGCCCCGCCGGTAGGAGCTGGCGTCGGACGGGTGAGAGACCACGTCTGCAAGACAGGGGAGAAGGCAAGTTACACAGGGAACGCGGGCCAGGGCACGGGGGCCAGCCTGATCCGAGCGCTCCGCTTTGCAGCGCGGGGCTACTCTTTGCCACGCACTGCAAACCCAGCCTTTCGCCCAAACCTGCAGGGCCAGTGGGGAGAGGGGTTGGTTCTGCACTGACGTGGAATTACCCGGGACTCCCAGGACCGTCCCTGCTAGGCCAGCAGTGCGCCAGGGTTCTCCCCTGGATCTCCCGGCCTACAGGCCCACACCTCAGCCCTGGGCTAAGGGGACGGCAGTTCGACGCCTCAGCTCCTCTCTCTGTTCTCCAACCCCTAACCCTTGACGCTCCTACAAGGAACCCCTTTCTGAGAGGGCGGAATACGGGTAATTTAGTAAACCGTTTCCACGTCAATTTCCCAGCTTTTAAGTCCTTGTCAAGGGCTGGGGAGGGCGGGGCGCAGAGGGAGAAGGAAACCAGCCTGGGCCCCAATAAGCGATTCCACCCTTCCCTCGCCCAGGGAGAGCCAGGAGCCACCCCGCTCCAGGGCGGTGCGCGCAGCGCCAGGCAGCGGGGTCGGGCTCCCCAGGGTGCAGCGCCGCCGCCGCAAGGGCAGGCCGGGGAGAGGCCGCCACAGGGTCCCAGGGCGGCCGGGAGCAAGCGGAGGAGGAGGAGAAGCTGGAGCAGAGCCGGAGGACCGGAGCTGAGAAGGGGGCGGGGGGGTGGGGAGGAGGGCGCCATTTACCGGGCAGAGTAGACTTCCAGAGGTGGGGAGGCTGCGCCTGCTCTTTGGGGCAGTACATTTGGCCGTTCCAGCCGTTGGGCAGCGCCCAGGGCTGGTAGCTTTCCATGGGGAGCCCCAGGGGCTCGTGGCGCGACTCGCCAGGGCCCCCGAGGCCGGGCACCACGGGCATATCCAGGTAGCCGGGCACGGGCTGGTGGTGGTGGTAAGGCCCGGGCGCGTAGCCCTGGTGGTAGAAGGCGAACTCCTTGGCGCGGGAGCTGAACTCCTCGGCCGCCGGGCCGGCCGTGTCCATGTACTTGTCCGCGAAGGCGGCGGCGGCGGCGGCCGAGGCGGGCTGCGCGCACGACTTGATGGCGTTGGGGTGCGGGCCCATGCGGGCGCACGGGTAGTAGCCGCTGCCGAAGTAGCCGTAGGGCAGCGCCGCGGGCCCCGACGAGCTCTGCGCCGCCGCCGAGCAGGGGCTGCACTGCTTGGCCGCCTCGGCGCCCGCCGGGCCCGCCGGCCCGGGGCCTCCCGAGGACGAGGCGGCCGCGGCGGCGGCGGCAGCGGCGGCGGCGGCGGCGGCGGCGGCGGCGGCCGACGGGGGCGCCTCGCCGGGCGCGCTGCTGTAGGCGGCCGCGGCGCCGGGGGCCAGGGGCGCCGGGTGCGCCATCAGGTTGCGGCACTGGTTGGCCGCCGCGGCCGCCGCGGCCGCCGCCGCCGCCGCCACCGAGAAGTTGCCCCCCGCGGCCGCGGCTGCCGGGTGGGGGAAGCCCCCGCCCCCGGCCCCGGCCGCCGCCGCCGCCGCGGCCGCCGCCGCCGCCGCCGCCGCCCCTTCCATGTTCTTGTTGAGCTCGTCGGCCACGAGGCCGCCGCCGTTGTCGTAGAGGAACATGACGGTGGGCTCGATCCAGCGGGGGTGGAGGAGCACGGAGGCTGTCATAGCCCGAGCCGCATGGAGGAGACCCCGGTGGCGCTGTTTTAAAAAGCCCCCACGAAGTGGAGAGCGCGCCGCGCGGGGCCGGGGCCCGAGCGAGGGGGGCGGATCGCGCCCCGCGGGGTCGCGCCAGGCGGCCGCCCATTGGCCCGCCCCCCGCGCCCCGCCCCCGGCGTATGCAAAGCGGGCGGCGCGGCCCGGCCCCGCGCGGCGCACAGCGGTCCCCGCGCCGCCGCCCGGTCCCCAGCACCGCGGCCCGCACCGTGCGCCCCGGGAGAGGCCGGCGCCGCGGGCGGGCGGGCGGGCGAGCGGCGCAATCGGGAGCGAAGGGCGGCCTCCTCGCCGCTCCCCTTCCTTTCCCTCCTCCCAGTGGGGCTCAGAGCGTGAGAGACGGGGAAGGGACAGGGAGCGAGGCGGTGGGGACAGGCCAGGTACATCGGCGGGGCCTGGGGAGGGGTGGCAGCGAGGCACAGGCCAGGCGGGGCGTCCCTTGGAGCCGCAGGCGGTTTTCTTCGCAGGTACCTCCGCGGACACCGGGCGCTTTCCGCTGGGAGAGCTTGGCGACTTGGCCCTCTTTCCAGGGAAACAGTGGCTGGGCGGTGGCGGATGCGCCTGGCTCTCGAGTCCCAGGACATTCCACTGGGAGCTCCTTCCCCTTCCTTGTCCACGGTGTCGGCGGGCAATCTCATGCGCTCACACTCAGAATGACCCATCGCACCCGCACCGACACACATCCAAGGGGACCCTGATCACACACACACAGACACGTATGTACACAGGCTGTTCCTCACTGGGCACCAATTACAACTCTTCCTTCTCCAGAGCCTGGGAGGTGGGGAGAGGCATTTTTGTGCCTCGTTCTCCAGGGCTTCCACGCCTCCAGCCAAGCTGGCCTGTCCTGGAAGGAGTTTCAGAGAAGCAGGCTGGTGGGGTGCTGACTGGGGCTCAGAAGAATCCCCCTTCTGAGGCCTGAGTGAACTTCCTAAAGCCTGGGCAGGAGCTGACTGGCCAGGGACCTGGGCACTCCTTATCTCCCTCTGTGCTGGGACAGGAAAAGGGAGTCCTTGGGGGCCCCTTCATGCCTTCCCCCAAAGTAGGACTGAGAGCACCGCCTCCATCATGCGGAGTGCCCAGCCTCCTCCACCCGGGCAGCAGCCTGAGGAGCCTCCCCTCTGTGCCTGGGGAAGCAGACCCTTCTCCGAGGGGCCCACTGGTGGGAAGTTGGCGCTTGAAGAGCCAGGCAGCTGCCATAATTTGGTGAGGGATCCTGGGGGTCCTGCCGCTTTGGAAGCACAAGCTTCCATTTCCGACCGTGGATCGGAAAGTGATCTGGTCAGAAGCCCAGAAGGGGATCGTGCATTCAAAGTGAAAGTGGGCGCATTCCACAGGAAGGCAGGGGTGTTGGGAGTGCTGCCATCCCTGCCACCCCAGGTGGGCTGGTGAGCTGCCAGGCTTGGCCCTGCCATCTGATTACCAGCTTGCAGACTCGGCCCTAAACTCGGGGCCCTTTGAGTGTCCCCAGCCCCTGCAACCCCGCTGCCACCCCGCCTCTCCGCTCTCTTGGGCTCCCGGTCTTCCTGCAAGGTCCAGACCACGAAGGCTGGGCTCCGGCTTTTATCCATTCTGATCTCCAGGTTTGCCCGGACCCATGTAAGTGCTGCCCAATAAAACCTTCTGTGACCCCCCCCTCCCGCCCCCTTCACCATACACACAGCCAGTGTGTCCGTTCCCTGCCGCCTTAGTGCCGGGTAAATATTGATTTGCCCCCAGTTTACCTCCTCCCTGCCTGTCCGTTTGCAGACTCAAACACCGGCCTCTGGAGGGACCAGATTTGTGTGTTACTTTCCGGGGCCTGTCTTCCCCCCCTTCCTTCCTCCCTCCATAGTAAAATGCACGGTGACAAAGAGGCAGGGTAAGGTTCAAGGCCCCAGTGCCTGACGACTTGAAGGCTATTTTACATACGGGTCAGACAGGGCTGGAGGCCAAGGTCAAGTTGAAAGTTGCAGTCTAGCCAATGTGAGAACTGCCGTGCACGCCTGGAGACCCAGGCCGCCTGGGAAAGGCCCACCGCCTATCTCCCCTCACTCTGACTCTCTCTCCCTTTGGAATTCCTGGTTCTGGCTCTGTTTGGTTTTTCTCCCTCGGTTCCTGCTGCCTTTGTGGAGATGTTCGGGCGGTGTTTACAGACTCTTCTTCTCTGCCTCCGCCCTGCTCTTGGCTCAAGCTTTCAAGCCTCTTCTGTGTTCTAGCCAGACCTGGAATCAGGAAAACACAGCTCGGGAGCCCCCACCAAGCCGGCGCCGGTGCCAGTTCACCTCTGGCCATGGCGCAGCTGCCGGTGGGTGCACGCAGTGGCCAAGGCCAAGTCCAGCTCCACGTTCCTCAGTCCCTCTCCCCACTTCACCGGAGACCGAGCAGAGGAAGGGCCCCCGCTCTGCAGACTGCCAAAGCCCACTGGGTCTCTCCTCACCAAACATGGTGAGACAAGACGCTGAGGAGCCTCAAGAGCAGGTTTGTTTGGGGGATAGCGCTGGGGAAAAGCTTTGGGCTGCATCTCACATTAGGCTTTTGTCCCTCCTTCGTGGCCCCCCTGCCAGGGAAGGGCTAACAGTCTGAATTGTTTATTGAGCTTTGTGGTGGCTCTTTAGTGATCAAGTTATCCGATGGCTTCTCAGTTGTCTCTCAACTTTCAAACACTCTCCAGACTTGGTTCCTTGGAGGGAGGCAATCGGTGTTCCTTCCCTTCATGTCTAGGATCTCAATCTATGGCATGATCGTTCTATCAGGCAAGGGAATGGCGTGCCGTCCCTGTTTTTAAAAGTCTGCAGGCTCCGTTTGACATAGACTTGTAGCCGCTCAGCAGCGGAGATGGTTTATAGAAGTTGAATGAGCTCCGTGAATAATTTGGGGTCTCAGTTTCTAGGATTTCTACTCCCTTTGAAGCAAGAAAATCTCTCTCCCTCCTTCTTGTCTTTTGTCAAGGAGCATGAGAGATTTGTGAATGGCTCCCAACAGCCATTTCTTAGCCTCCGGGCAGCCACCACACTGACTTACTTTTTTTGCCTGCTCAGCTAGTGGGTCCTGACCCTCTGTGTTTTTGTTTGTGCTTTTTTGGTGTCTACTGGATTCGGGATTGCCGAGAGGTGCTAGCCATTGGATCTGGCAATCCCCATGTTATCCCTTTGTGAGCTGGGTTAAGGAAGCCAGGGCATCCCTTTGTGAGCTGAGGGAGGAAGTAGCCCCTGGAGCCAGAGGGTAGCAGGGGTGGAGGTGCGTCCTGATGCCCCCCAAGGGGTCCCTGGCTAGGCAGCAGGGGTCGGATGGGAGGGCAGTAGCCGGCCAGGGACTTGGCCTTTGTTCGAGGAGCCAGCCCCTCGGCAGCCATGGCTTCTGGCCTCTTAGGGCCGGCAGGGTGGCCGTGGGCCTTGCTTTCCTGGAGTCTCTTTCTGAAGAAAGAGATCTTGGCTGTTTTTTTTTTGGGAGGGAGACGGTGGGGGACTCCTTACCAGCCTGGGCGAGCTGGGTCTCAGGGTTAGAGGATAAAGGAACAAAGGAGGATGGGGTTTAATTGAGTTTGATGTTCACTAGCAAATGAAATTTACCTGCTCTCACTCTAGCCGGGAGGAGGCTGTCAGCACGGCTCCCTGGCACCCTTCCCCTGCGCCCATCCAGCATCAGGATAAACATTCCTGTTGGTTTTAAAGACACTTTGTATTTCAAGATATTCATGTGTTTCTAATGTATCCAAACAGCTTTACGAGCGAGCGGCATTTGCAGAACATCTTAACCCTCTCTCTCCCACGGCGGGAGGGGTGGGGTTGCAGAGATAATGGCAGAGGAGGAAAGCTATGGAGGGCGAAGTGGCAGAGAAGCCAGGGCTAGCTTAGCGGGAAAGAGAAAGAGATTTGGGGGAAAACAACTGAACAGGAAAGAACCCGGAATCTGCAGTCCCCTAGACCAGCGAGGGAAGAGACGGGAGCAGGGCCGTTCTGGTCACAGCGGGCTTTGTGGGTTTCCCACCCTTATTCCCACTGGGGTGAAAGCTGCACTTTTTTTTTATTATTTTTTTTTTAAGGAGAAAAGGTAAGTTCTGAAGAGACCTGAGCTGAAGCTGGGCAGTAGGCAGGGCAATGGCCTACCCTGAGTCACTTGCTCACGCTTTGGTTCTGGATTTGTGTGCATTTGAAGCATTAATGAAGCAGCAAGAGGCCCAAGGCTGTGGGGACAGGTTTGGACTCTGGGAAGGCATTTGGTGGCCAGAAGCTAACCGTGAGAATGGAAGTGCCAGCTCCAGGGAGACCCACACAAACAGCATGGGCCTTTCAGAGCCCCTCACTCCGTGGATTTGGGAGATAGCGAGTTTGGGGAGGAGCAGCTCTCCAGATTGGGGCGGGGGGAGGGCGGAGGGTCCTTTAGGGCCAGGCCTGCCAGGCCACCGGTGCACAGCGTCCCGAAGAAGGTGGCAGGAGCCCAGGGATTCCTCAGTTGCAGTGTTGTTCTCAGAAAGTCCCTGATCCGGGAGAGGGACGCCCCCAACCGCCGCCCCCAACCCCCAACTCCTCTGAGGAGCAGCCAGCGCACCCAGACCGCCCTCCCCAAACCCCTACCCCCGTTGGCACAAATTGGATGCGGGGCGCCTTCCCGCCTCTAAGACTGCCCCCCCCCAGGCGGCGGTGATGGGGAGGGCGCGCTGCCTGCCCCGACGGCCCGCCGCCACTGCCTGGGCCGGACCTGGACGCTCAGCCTCCGGTCCAAAGACCAGGGCAAGCGCCCCACGCAGGGCCTGGGCAGCGCCGCCCGAAGGAAGATCGCCTTCTCCAGATCTCAGCTGGCCGCTGGGCTCGGACCCACGGCCCCCAGGGAGTGAGCTCCCCGTCACTCGGCCGGGCACGCGGAGAGGCCCAGAGGTCTGTCCCGAGGTTATCTGTGCCCTCACCCGCCTCCACCCCACCCCAGCCGGAGGCTCCCGCCCGCAACAAAACAGGAAACCAGCGCCGGGCAGGCTT